ACAAATAATGTTTAGGAAATCTAAAGATGCTAAGGTGCAAGCTCCCAGTTGCAACATTTTCTTAAAAATTTACTTTTTAATCGACCTGACCCAGAACTTTATCACCATCTGACAAAAATAAATATAAAATGATTTTTAAAATACCCCATTAGTGATATTTCTACTCATTTTACAGACAAATGCTTCTCAAGAAACAAAAGAAATATTATTTAAAACAAAAAACAACAAAAGTCCATCTGACGGAGTTGACACAGAACTGAAGGTGGTGACAAACTAGTGAGTAAAATGAAAAACTTGATACATGTGAAGTAATGCAATTTATGTAAAATACATTAAGATGAATTAATTGCACATTTAAGTGAGATTTGACAACAATTTCATTGAAAGAGTCAACTACTCTGATGTAGTTGACGAAATGCCAAACTACCTCAATTTATATGATGTTATTCTGAAGGAGGCCATATTGTAGCTCATCAGGTCCATGAAATCTTTACAGTATACCAAAATCAAGCTTTTATTTCACAAAATTTCATCAAAGTTTTGAAAATTGTCAGTTATGGAGTTGACACATCATGGTTGTGATAAAAAAACTTAGGAATAAAACAGAAGAAAAAAACTAAAGAATAACATAAGCTAACCAGAGCTAACTAGCCCTCTTAGCAAAGAAAGAGAAAAGAGACGTCATGGGGTCCTCAGAAGTTCTGGTGCCCCCCAATAATGCCTGATTTCTTTGCATTCTTTTCATGTCTGACGGTGTTGACAAAAACTAGGGACAAATTTCAATGGAGTTGGAAAATATATAAAAATGATTTTTAATTCAATTTATTGATACTTTTATAATTTATTTGAATACTTATATTTAATTGTCATAATATACTATCTTAGTAACCCTTTGTTTTTTTAATTTTTATTTATTTATTACTGGAGCAAAGCATACAGTAGCACTTCTGTAAATAAGAATGCTAATTTTTCACCTGCAGTTCCTAGGTGATACATGTTTTCTGGAACAAAGAACACATACAGAACACCTCCAATAGTAAAACATAGTGAAAGAGAATTAGTAGTGGAAAAAAAACACACACGTATACATGCATACATAC